TGTTCTTGCACTGGCCGCCCCCCAATTCCTGGAATGTTCTCTCTCCTGTCCTCTACCTCCTGGAATCTCTTATTTGCTTCAGGACTCAGCTCAAACAATGTCTTCTACAGGAGGTATTTCCTGGTTCCCTTTCCAACCTGCTCATGCCTTCTCCTCTATGGTTACCTTATAACTACTCTCTATGTATCTAAATCTCCCATTGTAAAATGTAAGCTCCTTGGGAGTGAGGGTTGTTTAATTTAGTCTTTGTATCCTCATGCTTAGCATAGTGCCTGGCACACAGTAGATTTGTTAATTGATTGATTGATGGCTTATGTCAGTGAATAGACTCTTCATACATGTTTTGTGCTGCTAAAGATCATCTCAGTGGCTGTGAATTACGTGTCCCAGGCATTTGTGATGAACTCATGAGAAGACATCAATCCCAGTGACCACTGATCTCTGCCCTTGTTAATAAGAAATGCCTGAAAATGAAGGAATGATCAATTCTACAGAGTTCAATACACATTTACTAAGCGCTCAGATGTGTGAGGCACCATCGTTGGTGCTGGGTACTCAAGATGAAACATGGCATGGTCCTTGTTTACAAGGACTACAGATCTACAAATGAGGGAGACGAAGCCACATGCACAAATAAGTATTTGATGAAAGCCAAGATGGGTCCTGACAAAAATCCCATGAAAAATATGAGGAACCAGAGATTGCTTTCAGTTGAGAATACTAATGAAGGCCTCATGGAAGAGGTAGCTCCTGAGCTGGGTTTTAAGGAGAGAGGAGGATTTCCTAGGCAGACATGTGGAGGGAAGTGCATTTGAGTTTAGGAATTCACCTCCTCCTGAGCTGAGTAGTAGGAAGGAAGGAAACAAGCATTTATTAAGCACCTACTGTGTGCCAGCATTTGAACTCAGGTCTTCCTCACTCCAGACCCAGCACTCTTATCTAGCCACTGTACTGCCTAGCTGTAAAATAAGAGGAATGCATGCCACAAAGAGGAGGTGTCAGAGATATGGTCAGTGTGAAGCCAACATCGGTATGGAGGACAAGGGGGATATACCTACATTCCCTATTGAAATAGTGCTCATTTTTGATTCTACATCATTTCGTGGATCTATGCTAGGTTTCATTATCTGGTATATTATTTGATCATGAATATGTACATGCTCAAATCCATAAGGAAAACAAGTGATTTATAGCTTCTCCTCCATTTCACTTTCTTCTCTAATATATCCTTATCCTCAAGCTTTACCTTCACCTTGAATTTTAAGTATAATTTTAGGAGAACAGCATAAAATGCAGGAGAATTATTTAGTACATTGGTGTGGCTGGGACTCTTTCCAACAGCGGAGATCACTGCCCTCAGAGAGGAGCCATCTAACATCCTCTGTAAGAAGGACAGAAGTTACCAAAACCCAGAAATGACCAATTAAAGTGGCTTAATGATCAATCTGTTTAAAGTACTGTAATGCATGGTTTTAAACTCACAATTAGCTGCATTCCCAATATGTCCCCTTTTTACTGCGCAGGGAATCACATGATGCTACATCACGTCATTTCACTTATTTGCAATCTATCTCCCATACTGGCACACGTATCTCTCATGTGGAGTTGTCTGTTCACCACCCATCATTTCAGGAGGTGAATCTCCTCATCTTTCTACAGAAAAGTTTTGGCCATTTAAGGCCACATAAAAATTGTACAAAAATAATCTACTTGGAAAAAAAAAAGATATTTTCACTCACATCTGTGCAATCACTTAACTTTCTTTTAAAATATGAGACATCTCAAAAGAATTGCAAATTGTTAACAATCGTGTGAAAGAATGCCCCAGGTCACTAGTAGTAAGAGAAATGCAAATCCAAATAACACTGAGGTTTCCCCTCATATCCAAAAATTGGCAAAAATGACAAAAGATGAGAATAGTATTGGATGGGTTGTATAAATACAGGCACACTAATGCATTGTTGGTGGAACTGTGAATTACTACAACTATTCTCAAAGCAATTTGGAATTATCTAAGAAAATGATGTAAACGTCCCTATACTTTAGCCCAGAGATTTTGCTGCTAGGTTTATACCCCAAGGAAGTCACTGACTAAAGGAAAGCCTCCATATACACCAAAATATTTATAGCAGCACTTGGTAGTAACAAGTAACTTGAAGCTAAGTAGATGTCCATCAATTAGGGAATGGCAAAACAAATTTATATGGGGAATGTAATGTAATATGATGATGCTATAAGAAACAAGAAACATGCTGGATCTAGAACTGATAAAAACAGAAGTAAACAGACCCAAGGAAACAATATACACAATAAGTACAATAATGGAAATGTAAGGAATACCACAAAACAGCCAAAACCGAATCTTGTGAGATAACAATTAATGATCTTGGTCCCAAAGAACAGATATGAAAAAACAGCTTTCCCCCACCACCACCTCCACCCCACCCCACTGCTTTGCAGAGGTGGAAGGCCATGGGTACTGAATGTGACATACAATAACAGTGTTTCAGTGTGTTAAACGATTTTACAGAAATTTTTCCCTTTAAAAAAGTTTTTTGTTATAACAGGTTGCTTTCTGGGAGAAGAAGGAGTACAGGGAGTCTTCTAAACAACGTAAAAACGAAAGATAGCAATTAAAATCTATTTTTTTGAATGAGGAGGGCCTAAGCTAACTGCTTGCTGGATGAACTCGGTACAGTCATTCTCTTTCAAGAGGATCAAAGGGATGGGTAGAGAGAGATTTAAGAAGGATAGCTAGGAACACCTCCAACTAGAGCTGTGAATTTCAAACTGAGGAAAAGTGAATTACTACAGCAAAGGGAATGACTCAACCGAGACAATCTGAGTCAATAGCAACCCAAGAAAAAAAGTCATTTGAAGGAAGGATTTTCCTGTAATGGTTTTATAAAGGACTACATTTCAAAGGGACCTGCCCAAAACACAATTGCATTCCTCCTGATCATAGGGAAATAATTAGCTCAAATTGGCTGGCTTGATGCACAGATAGCATTTTCAAATGATATATTTCTTAATCAAAGCTCCAGTTCTTCACTGTCCCTCCTTTGATTTCTTTCTCTACCCCTCTTCTGTCACTGGGCATGCTCACAGTGATGCAGTCTCTGTGTTCTGAAAGAAATTGAACACACACTTGAATCTTGTGCCAAGTTACTTTTAGTAACCTGAATTGTTCTAAAAAAAAAAGTGAGGAAAATCCAGCTAGCTTTCACAGTTTTGAGGAGCTAGAAAAGATTTGGTCTCAGTGTTTTTAGAATTATCTTTCTTTGGCCTCCTACGCAAAACCATTTCCTTCTAGCCAGGATCAGCAGGTGGAAGAAGGAGGCCTGTGGATGTGTGGAAAAGCTTCGAGCAGGAAGAGTCTGACATATTTTGCCCAGCATCTTTGCTCTTCCTTTGCTAAGCTCATTTGGCACACTTGGGAAGATAACTGCAGAAATACATGCTTTGATAAACAATCTGAATTAGTGATTCCCTCTCTACCATGATGATGTCAGTAAATTCCAGGTGTTACAAGAGACTGCCTGTTTCTTTATTTTAACCTGTTATCTCTTCCACTTGCCTTCTTGCCATTTTAGCAAATGCCAAGTGATGGACATATAATTCTTGACTCCCTAGCCCTGTCCAAGAATAATGGGTATTTCTTTAGCAACAGAATCTAAATTTCATCAAAGCAGAAGTAGGATTCCAAAATCAAAATGTGATAGATAAGGATGAACTTATTGAACAATAATGCTTAAATATGATATCATATTCTAATGTTCTAGTATATATGATACAGTTCCTGTAACAAATTTACTTTTTTCTCCTCTATATCTCTGGTCTTCCCTACCTTCCTTGTCTCCCTTTCCCCTCCTGAAAAGTCATTATAAAACTAATACCACTACCTGGACACTGTAAAAGGGCATAGCTTTATATTATCTTTTTTTCAACCCCTCTTTCTATTAATATGATTTATTTAGCTTAAATGCATTCCAGAAATTTATGAGTTTGTTTCTGATGCCATAATCATGCTATAGAAATGGGGGGGAGGGGAAATCATCCCTTAAAACCTCCAGGTGTTTAAATACTTTGGTAGACTGTAACCATTCCACCATCAGTGCCCCCAGCTGTGTTGCTTAGCAACATTTTAATTCAAGAAGAATCAAAGGAGATGAAATCCCTGTGGAGAGGGAAACAGAAATAAGAGGGCCGTTGACAGATGATCTGAGTTGTTTCTTCTAATACACTGTGAAGATCACTAGCTCTTTTCATGAATGATAAATGGACTGTACACAAATCAATGCATTCAGCAATAAACTGGAACCCAGGCTTCACGTCCAAGCTGGTGCAGGCCAAGAGGCCCAGAGATTGACTCATTTAGATGATTCGAGCTGTGTTTTCTTAAAGGCTCCACAAGTATAAACTGATCTGAGCTTTTGGTGATCCTTTGCCCTTTGGTGGTGTTGTCTAATAAAAAACAATTTAGAAACAAATGCCCCTTGGACCAGTGACCATGGGAGTGCTATGGTGGCTGGTGGTCATAGAGGAGTATCTATGATGATGTTCAGATGAGTGGTTTCATGTCATCAACCTCAAAATGCAACAAGGATGTTTTGTGAGCAGCCCCCTCCTCTCCCATTTAAAAAAATTCACATTTATAGATGCTAGAATGAAGAAAGACATGTGACAAAGATTCTAGCCCAAGTAGTACTTTCTACTCTGTACTTGGGGGATTCCTGCTGAATCCAAGATGCAGGCATGTGCTGTCACGTCAGCGTCTGGAAGCAGACCTGGTACAGGTGACAATATCCCCTTGAAGAGAAGAATTTGTTGTTTTTTTTTTTTTCTATCTCCAGCTCTAGTTTCCTGAGGCAGCCTGCTTTGGTTTGCTTAGTGTAGTGCTGTGAAGCATTCTGATATTGTAGATTGTTTTGGTAATCAGTTCAGTTGGAAGATTGTGCCTGTTAATGTTGCCTAATTACATTTTTTTCTTTCATTCACAGGACATTGAAAAGGCAAAAGCCATGGACATTCCTTCAAAGTAAGTTCCTTTTTATATCAGTTGGATATTTCAATTTTAACAATGTCTATGCAAAGAAAAATAATTTAGTGTTGGAGAGAGAGAGAGAGAGAGAGAGAGGAAGAAGGAGGAGGAGGGAGGGAGGCAGGCAAGCAGGCAGGCACTGGAGTTTGATTTAATTCTGAATTGTGGCCATAAAAAATTCTCTTAATCAGCAGGGGTCTGCTTTGGTTTTCCCCATATCCCTGATGAGCAAACGCCCTAAGTTGTGCCCAGTTTACATAAATTAATATGTGCATTCTATGAATAGCTGCCAAATAATATTATAATCATTTTAGACAAATAGTATTTCTGGCCTTGCGGGCTTTGCACATGCTAAAAAGATTACATTTTTAATTGCAAGCCTTAGAAAGATCTGACAGAGAGGGAAATCACTGAAAGTGTGCCAAATGCTTTCTAGCCACGTGGGAATGTTTTGCACCTACCCATGTGCCTAGGCATCTCTGCTCTAGTGATGAAAAGCTCAGAAAATTCTATTTTTTTCTTTTCCTGCTGCTCATTTCTGAAAGGTGAGATAGCTGAGGCCAATTTCCAGGGCATTTTCTGGAATATTGTTCAGTCATAAGCAAGCAGCATACCACTCCTTTCATTACAGTACTTTCTAGACATCTGGTCTATATCTCCAGAAGAAAGATTTTTTTTTTCAGTTAAAGAGGTGGTTGATCATTAGTCATTTTAGTTGACGTGGCATCTGATTTCAGTGTTCCAACATGGACAAGTTCAGAAAGCTGTTTCATTTCCAAAGGAAGGAACTACTCTAGTTACTATGTTATTACATCTCTAGCAATATCATGTCCCTGGGAGTTGCACATTCATGGAGAGTAGGTACTTGGTACTGTGTTCCTGTGGCCAGTTAGCTCAGTGGTTTGGAGCATGACACTAATGAGGTCAGGGCCATGGGTTCAATCTCTGAGTGGGCTCATTAGTGTTCCCCTTTCCCACAGTCACAGATTGCATACTACTAACCTTGACCAGCCATCTCCCAAATGTGGACCCTTAGTCATGAGGGTGTGAGCCAGAGATGAATCCATCCCCACTGCAATAGAAACCCCCTCCGAGTCCAGAGTCAATGGAGGTCCCAGGGAAGCCTGGTCTTCATGCCTGAATGCCAGACCATTTTCTCTGTGTAGAACTGCACTAAACTACACTGAAGGCAGCAGCAATTTTCTTTCACTTATTGATAGAAATTTCTACAAACAAGTGTATTTTAATGACTTTATTCATAGGGAAGATTCTATATAATATCTAGCAAGTTCAGGACTATAATAAGGAGGAAAAAGGTAGATGGGGAGGGGGGGAAGCCACACAGTGAGATAAGAATTGCCCAAAGGATTAGTAAAATAATGGGGAGTTTTTGAGATTATTTTTTATTCCTTATTGTGTTTTGAAATTTGCTTGGTAACAGAGCCAAGTTACAACAAAATCCTGAGTGTTTAGAATTGTCCCCCAATTTAAAAAGCTATTGAGCTTAGTGGGGCTTTGGACTCTCTTGCACCTGGGTTCATGTTACCAACTCACCATCTGGGTTTTTCCATCAGAGAATCATAGAGTCCTGAGCCCTGGAAGTCATGACTACAGACCAAGGCTGAGTCCACCTGACAGCAGAGAAAATTCTTGTTGTTTTGTCAGTGAATTAACAGAAACTCTTAGTCTCCAGGTAGTCAGTCCTGCATCACTGATGAATATTCAGTATGCTTATGCAAGATAAGATCTAGAGGCCAGGTTAAGCAACACTTCCACTTTCTGTGGCAGGAGTGTTATTTTAGATGACACTGAAACCAGCTCAACAATTAGAGGTCCCTTGGCCTTCTCCAAGTGTGTCTATCAGAGGCCTACGAGTGTACCTAGATTTGGCACCTTCCAATGAATGTGGACGTCCCCCAGAAAGGGGGACAGAGGCATCCTGCTCAACTTAATTTGAGTGCAACCCCCAATTGGAGAGGGCATATTCTAGTAAGGGCCTGCCTCCCACCTGAGAAAGTAGCAGGTGACTGACCATGGACTTCTCCCTTTGCACTTCTCAGATTTGTGAGAGCAAAGGATCCCTCCTAGATCTCCAGTGCTCCCTTTCTTTGAGTATGCAATGTTGAGTGTTTGTGTCTAGCACTGGAGAAGCAGAGATTGTCTGGCTCCACTGGAAAGTGGAATGCAGATTGGTGACTATCACAAATATGTATTTGTATTAAGTACTGTCATTAGATTAGGAAAAGGCAGTAGATGTGAATTACTTTGTGACAGCCTACTTTCTTAGTCCATTCTCTTTGCATCCATTAAAAACCAGCAAACCAACAAGGATTTATTGACCACTCAGCATTGTGCTCATGAAATCCTACTTGATGAAAGACATTTTTATTGACATAGTTTGAGGAAGGAAATATCTTATAAACCAGCAACTGAGGACTCCATAGATCTAAAAGCCAGTGTACAATGCAGTGTCTGTGGGATTATCTTTGACAAGGAACATATATGATGCGTTAGTTGTTAATCATCCTAGTTAGGCATCAATATACCCACTGCAAAAGGTTTTATTCATTTAGGCTGCTATTACCTCCTGAAATTTAACCAAGGGTTAATTACAGGGTAGCCCAATGGCTGCCAATGGACTCTACCCTTCTCTGTCAATGTGTGCTTGTCATGCTAGGAAGGGCTGCCTTTTTCCCACCTCCTTATTCTGTTTTCAATACCTTCAGGGTTGTAGCTTCTCACCTTAACCTAAAGAGATCATTCAACACATTAAATATAGCCTGTTTCAAATTTATGTATACACACACACATATATATGTGTGTGTGTATGTATGTATGTAACACACATATACATATACACTTAACAAAGGTAAACACAGAATGTACCTGTGCTAAGTATTTGACCCTGCAACATTTAATGTTCCTAAGGGGGTAAAAATCAAAACAATATATATGTATAACCTTAAGCATAATTACTTCCCAAGGTCTTTGGAAACACATAGGAGTTTTACTTGCCTCAGAATTTAGCCACAACTTTCATATTACAGCATCCCTGGCTCTTAAAATATCAAAGAGAATTTTGCTTGAATTGCAATGTTCTGCAGTTCTCATATTATTAGTAGCTTCCATTGTGAAAACAAGGCCTGAAAGATCAGTGATTTCTTCTGCCATATGTGACCTAGCCTAGATGTTAAAAGACTCCATTATTAAGCCTTATGTAGTGGTGCACTTCTGCAGATGTGATTTGCTTTTCTCTAAAAGCTCTGCACTAATGAATGAGTTGATTTGAAGTGAGCTTTATGTCTTTTACCAAAAAAAAAAATATTATCTTCAGTTGTCATAAAAATAAAATTGTCCCTTGTTTTTATACTATACTGACATAATCTCCATCTTTCCTGACCTCACATCTGGACTCATTCAACTTCGAAAACTCTCATTTGCTTCTGTAAACAATGACTTTAGCTCGTGCACAATGCTCTGATTCAGTGATGGCGTAGGAAAACTTAGGAGTGCTACAAAGTCTATTTCATTTCTCTCCGTCTAAATCATTTGGTTCCCATATCACATAGAGAAACTTCATAGGAATCCTCACTGCAGGCAAATAGGCTTGTTGTAGCTAACCCTCCTCCATAAGGGAGGTCCTTGTGTTACATGGTCCCTAAGGTCCCTTTCAACCCTGAGATTCTACAATCTGGGAGGTAACTAATCTACTCGAGTTATATGGGTGACTAGCCTCATTTTTGGAATTGTCTACAGTTATGTTTGAACCAATATAAAAAGTGAGTCTATTTAAGTTAACATGAATTCTTTCAAATGGACAAGTAGAATTTTGTGGGGTTTTTTATTTTATTCCTCTCCTTCCCAATTATTGCATTATAACCTTGATGAGAATCATGTGGAAGACAGCAACACCCTGAGTAGGGACAGGAAGCTCATTAGCATAGGCTGGGAATATTCTCTTGAGTATCTAATAGGATAACAAAGACAGTATAGTATAGTCGTAGTTAGAGGAACCAAATGAAAATCCTACCTAGCTCTGCTACTTCTAAGCAAATTGGTCAGATCAGCTGACCTCCCTGGGCCTCAGTTTCCTTTAAGGTATTGAACTGCTGAGTATTATCGCAAGGTCCTTTCCAGCTCTAAGGCCAATGATCCAAAAGAGAAAATACTATAGCACACAAAAAGGCACCATGCAAGAAAGGGGACTTTATAATGCCCATAGATATCGGAGGTAGAGGTGCCACAACAGTTCACTCTCCTTCTGCATAAAAAGGTTTTGTTATAAAATTGTTTTTTTTTAAACTTGCATCTCTGGAAGAAATGCATGTGTTTAGTTTTTAATATTATACTATATTCTAAAATAATCTAAGTTGCTAAGAAGAGATTTGAGGTGTGGTAGTTTTTCATGAGATATGACTGCCATCTTACTGTGTCTTCCCCAGCAAATTCAATTGCTTTAGACTTGTAGTCCCCATTCAGCCCTAATTTGAGGAGAAAAAAAAGGAAAGTTATAGTGGGGGCCATAATTAAAGGAAACACCCTAATTCTGGGCATAGAATTGTTTTTATTGACTCTCTAGTTGTTAGGTTGTTTTTTCCCCCTACAGCCCAGAGTCTCTCTGGTCTGGCCTTTTAAAAGCAATGCAAATTTTCTCCAAATGGTTTCATAAAAAATAAATAATACTCATTAGAATGTTGTCAAGAGAATTAATATTTGGGTGTAGGTGGTTCTAGCTAACTTTGCCACTGTTCATGAAACTCTAACAAATTGCCTATAAATGTCTTTTCTATCCCTAACAAGACTTTTACCATCTACTTGACTAAAAATGATGGTGGTGATATTTTCTAGGCTAAGACAAGCTTTTCTTCCAAATTACAAGTCATCCAGGGTGAAGAGTGGTCTGACCTCCATGACTGTTGGAAACTGGAACACTGGCCAGCTGTCATTTTGATAGGAGGCAGCCTCTTTGTAATAGAATGGTAGAGATGAAGGTGGGG